GACCCCAGCTACCTACAACCCTAACAGAGAAACACCCAGGCATATAATAATAAAAATTCCAGAAATTCAATACAAGAACAGAATATTAAAAGCTGTCAGAGACAAGAAACAGACCACTTACAAGGGAACACTCAACAGAATTACAGCAGATTTCTCTGCACAAACCATCAAATCACGAAGAGCGTGGGGGGAAATAATTCAAGCTTTGAAAGATAATAATCTCCAGCCAAGATTGAGATATCCTGCACAACTGTCCCTGGAAACTGATGGAAAAACAAGGTGCTTCCAGGATAAAGAGGAACTGGGGGAATTTGCAACCACCAATTCAACTCTACAGAGAGTATTGCAGGATATTCTAAAAAAAGAAAAATACAAAGAATCCAGAAATAGTGGAGGCCACAACAAATGGAGCAGAGAACAAAATGAAGAAGACAAACTGACAGCTACTGACAGAATAAGAGCTCAACAGAAATGAGGCAGAGAAGATTGGATGATAGGAACAGCTATTTTGGAGAAAATGACATCTTAATAGGTAATACTGATTTAGTATCATCTTGTTTTGAAGTCTCATCTAGCTTTTGTCCATCTGTCTCCAATGGTCTAAATACGTTGTATCTTATTGGATTTTATTATGTACGATAGTATAAGCAAAAACCTTTTAAAGACAAGGAGATTATACAGAAACCATTGTTCATTTTCTGTTAGTCGATTCTAAATACTCTGTAATGCTGTCATTCTCTTAAATGGTTTTACATTGTTTTGATATACTTAATGCTACAGTATACGAAGTTGTACTCAAGGATTTCAAGGAAAGAGACAATATGGTAACTACTTTTAGGTCAGGATTATCTGGTGGTGAAACACTATTCTGCTTAAATGGTTATGTTTTGATCTGTGTTGTTTCGTTGTTATGCCCTCTTTTATCTCAATCTCCACTCCATTATTTACTTTTTTATTTTTATCCTTTTAATTAAAGGAAAAAAATAGCAGGATATATTATAGTAACCCACTTTGACTTTCCATTACCTCGATTTAAAGCCCTGTATTACTCTCACCATCTGGTTTTTAACTGATGTTCCCCTATTCTGTTTTGCTGGATAGTATCAGGTTTGAAAATTTAGGCATCAGCTGTGAAGATAATGAGATTCAGTATAACGCCCATTCTCATTGACTTTTATCTACTTTTGAAGACCTACAATGTCTCCAATGTTTTGGTTTTGTCGGTTTTATTCTTTACTGTTTTGTTCAATTGTATTATAATTAACGATATAAGCAATTCTATTAGAGATAGCGGGAGGCATTATGGTAACCATTGTTGATCACCTTGTATTATGTTTTCACATTATCTATTATGTCCACCCTTTTGACTTGACCGATTCTGTTCTGTTATGTCACATTTAGTTTTACTCTCTTCCAAAAAAGTAATAAGAACCGTGGGAGCAATGAAACCCAAAATGTGTAATAGTCATTGTACAAAAGAGAGGAAAAGAAAGTGCTCTAAACTATATAACTGCATGTATATTTAAGTGTATAAGATAGAGAATGATATCACAGAGTTTTATTGGATCATTGAACAGAACTGTTTGCAGTATCATTGATGGAATGTCCACTTTACAAGCTTTAATTTTGTGACGTGAACAATTATTTTTAAGATGACAATATGTAGTCCTTTAACTAGTGATTTCCTACTGTTCATTTTTTTTCTGCAAATCTGTATAACTTGTACCCTTTCTCTGCTTTTTTTTTCTTTTCTCCTTAAATAAAATTTAAAAAAAAGAAAAAAAATATTCATACAAAGTGTTATCAAATGATAATGATACCAAATTACTGGGATTTGAAAGAGGAAATGAGATTAGGCTAGGAAGAAGCAAGCAGATCTAAATTGTTGGTCACCTTATAATTCTAGTTTGGCTAGTGAGTTCATAGCTGCTTATTAAATTACATAAAATTAAAGTAAAAAACAGTCTTGCATGTACTATGATGAAGGTTACCACAACCATGAGTGAGCTGATCTTGGGCACCTGCAGGAAAGAAAAAAAAGTTCTACTGATTCTAAGAACACTTTCTTCGGTCCTACCAAAGAGTTATTTGGATGCAAGGTTAGCTGATCTTAATGAGTTATGGTGCATTCCTGAGGATTGCTGGTGGGATTATGTAAAATGCATACGTGCAATTTTTTTTATGAGTGCTTGCTGGTTGCTTGAAGTTAGTGGGAGCTAATGAATATAGGGGAGCAATCAGTTCTGACTGGAAATACCAAATGATGCAGCAGAGAGACCAGCAGGAAGCACCCCAAGTGATTTTGTGGGCGTGTATTCTAGACCTTCCCACAGCCAATGGGAAAAACTCAATGCTAAGTACAGAGCTGGGTGTGTTTTTTAGTTCCACGCAGTTGCTTTGTCTAAAGCTGCTTTCCTTACCATCTCATCTGCAAAATGCAGACAATGCTGTCATCTCTGTCAAATGTGGTCGCCAAGTTGCTCAGGAGATTAAATTATACCATCGACTTCCTTTTAGATTCCAACTCAGTGAAATCCTGCTGTATTTGTCATTCTGTGCTCGGCTCACTTCACTTAAGGAAGAATTCCTCATTTCATGGAGCCGGATTTGAGGTCATTTATAGGGAGTTAGTGGTAGAGGTCTAGGTTGACCCAAGTTGTCGCAAATTATAGGACTGATTTCAGAATTACCCAATGTATACATTTATCAAAATATCCCATTATGTCCAATAAATATGCAATTATGATACAGTAGTCAAAAATAAAACTGTAAAAAGTGTATAAAATTCTGTCATCAATTTGCAAGTGCAGGCTGTAAAATACATAATGAAGAGGAGTTCTGTGTTTGCTCACTTTATATTGGAACCCACTTCCTTCCTCTCTACCCTTTTCTTCCTTGCTCTGAAATTATCTCTTCTTTTTTCCTAACCCTCTCTCCTTCTCCATTCTCAGACTGATGATACAACTCCCATGGTCTCCTCCTTACAAAACAGTTTTATTTTTCCAAACGCTGCTGCTATGGGTATGGTAGGAAAGGGAAGCCTAGGAAGGAAGGGAGAGGGATGGTAGGTGTGGTTTTGTGGTCGAGCACTGACTTAGCTCATAAGAGGCCCTCGGTTCAAACCTCAGCCTGGAAGGAGAGGAGCAGGAAAAGAGGATTCGCGAATGAAAAACAAGAACTGAAATTGAAATCTCTACCATGGCGCCAAAATTTTAATCCAGGCACATAAGATAGGGAGAAGCCAGGAGTTGGAATTTAAAAAGAGAATTGAAATTTAAATCTTTATAAGTGACTCTGGAGTTTTAATCCAGGCCCCTAAAATGAGGAACTGTCTGAGACAAATGCCCTCAGGATAAAGTGTGAACTTCGGGGTGGGGAGATCAGCCAGCTCCCCATGAATAGGGGGACAGAGGTTCCCATCTTTGCATTTAATTGAGATTTAGGTAACTTTGGAGTAAGCAACCAGATTTAAATAAGCTCTGATTTTCTAGTAAATCAGGTATTGGTAAGGGAGGGTGGAGTCTTCATTCATTTGATGATTTCTGTGCTGTACTTTACATTGACTTCTAATGATTTCGGACTGACTTTATGTTGCCACTGAACGCAGAGAAAGGGAAGACATACCCATAATGGGCTCTTGTAAACTGGTTTCAGGTGGCTCCGGTCATCTTAGTCACCTACTTAGCTAATTATGATTATTCACAAGATGTCCACGGTAGGTTCTTTTTTTTTTTTTTTTTTTTTTTTTTGTCTTTTTCCTTTTTATTGGGACCAGGGATCGAACTCACGACTGCCTGCTTGCAAGACAGGCGCTTATGCCGCTGAGCTAAATCCCCAGCCCGTCCACGGTAAGTTCTAAATTGACCATCGTCGTCATCGTCATCAGTGAAGACTGTCTGTGACTCTCCAGTAACAGGATGCCTCTCTTTAAATTGTCAGGTTTCTGACTCCAAAGATCTAGACTATGAGACCTCACAAGACCTTAGGGTTCTCTAAACCACGCATTTCATTAATAAGAAAACTCCCTTTAGTCAGTGTTACACAAGGGTCTTCCTTGAAATCGTTCTTTTCGGCCCACCAATCTGAAGAATCTGGTCATTCTTTGGGCGTGTTCTTATGTTGTATGGGAGACCCTGACTATAAGACTCACCTGCAAACATGAAGATGTTCTGCTCTAAACCTATGCCACACAGAAACACATGTTTTCCTGCGTTTTTTCCATTTCAAACATCTTTTTCTTTTCTGTTTGGAAGGAGGAGTAAGACAGGGTCTCGCTCTGTAGTTCTGCTGTGTAGTGGCCTTGAACTCACTACACAGCTCCGGCTGCCTGTGAGCCTCCTGCCTCAGCGTCCTGAGCACAGAGATTATAGATGTGCACCACCACATACAGCTTCAAACATCTTTTGTAAAGAATTGTAAACGTTTTTTGTAAAGAATGAAAGTCCAGCATTTCAGGGATTATTTTGTTCACTCACTCCCATGCTCCTCATCCCAGAAGGATTTAACGTGGATGTGTGGGTGGTGATCCAGGCTCTTCTCAAATTCTCTCACAAACCTTTCCAAACCCTTTAGACTTTGACAGAGCTGTCGCTAGCTCCTGGGCCTTCTGTCACCTTTAACATCTCCACAGTTATGTAAACCATTCTTTTTCCACTCATTCTTCCCGAAGGCCCAGTGAATCCCCCACCCTCCAGAGCAGTGTCCTTGTCACACATCCTTATCACCACATCAATGAATCTGTATCCTAGCTTGCCTTCTTTATCCTTAAATTCCTCAAGTGCAGAACTTATGCTTAATTATAGCACCCAAAACAGTCCCCACCCCCAAATGGCACTTAGTAACCATTTGTAGGCTCTATGGCTGAGTGCTTGAATACAGAGAGAATGTGCAAATCGATGGGTGTTTCCTCCCCACCTCTGCTTACAGCTCCCCTCTGGCTTGCGCAAAGAATACCCACTGATCCGGCAATGCCAGGTTCACAGAGCTGCAGCCTTACTCACCTGGGAGGCAGAGAAAGAGCAGAGCTGAGCACAGCCACATGGTCCCGTCTTGCTGGCTGCTGTCCCTAGCAAACCCAGGTCCCAGTACAATCCACATATGTGTATCGGAGCTCAGGGTATCCAGCTACTATTTCTTCAAATTTCCTTTGTGCTTCTCTCATCCACTTCCCTTTTTATCTCTTATCTGCTTCCTAATTTAACAAAAGGAGAAGTGTCAAGAGACACTTCAGGGAGTGAGGGCAAAGAGAGAAACCTATCACACTTTCTCTCAGCTATAATGCTTGAATCACTCTGAACATCTGTGGGAGCCAATCACAATGCATCAACAAAGGAGACCTTTTGGCCCTTGCTTCTCCTCTCATCCCTCTTCCTGGCTAGGGCCATTTTCCTTGATGTGAGTAGCTAGCTACCCCTTCTCTGTGGCTGGCTCCTTGGGGTCACAAACACCTCCGGTCCAACAGATGTGAGGAACACTCCCCGGCCCTCACCATTCAGTTGCTGATAGAGTGTGCACTGGATGTTCGCAAGTTAGATAACCTCAGTCCTCTTCCACCACCCCTGCATCCCAGCACCCTCTTGGGATCCAGACCTCACTTTCTAACTGCCTGTGAGGAAGCTCCTTCCAGTTATATTCTGTGACTATGATTCTTACTCTACGATTCTCATGCAGAATCAAGGTCGTAGTTGGAAGCATAGATTCCAGAGTCACAGCCACTCAAATCCCATTTCCATCATTTACTAACAATGTGCTCTTGAGCGTGTTGCTAAATCACTCTTACCTTCAGCCTCTTCATCTGTAAAATGGAGCAAAGTAGCAATGCTTAGCCCCAAGAGGTGCCAATAAGAAAATCTAAGATCTGTATGTTATAGTAGGTTGAGTCAATAAAGACTCTGACTGCAGAGAGGAATTCTCTATAACATGGAAGCCCCTAAATTTATTACATAACTGAGGGCAAGTTCAGGAAGCACCCACATTCTAAAACAGTAAAAGGAACCGAAAACTATGACATAGGCAGGATCTGACACCAAAAGGCAAAGGGAGTAGTCAAGATGACTTTTGGCTTGAGGAGGGAAGGGGTTGGTATCCAAACAGTCACCGGGGGACAGCAGCCAATGCCTCAGGTCCATGCTAGACCTGCCAAAAGCTGGGGTTCACAAAAGGCCACTGCAACCACAGGACACAGGAAGGTACAATCCCATTGGTGGGTTCATGGGGTGTCAAGGCATCTTGGTCCCCTGGATTCATGATCCATTGAAGAGCTTCCCATAAGAATGCTGCCCAGAAATGTGAGACCCAAGAAAATAGTTTCCTCTGGATGTAGATTTCTCCTGTTCCTCTAAAAAGCAGCCCTCCCCACTCCCTCAGGCACCTCTGAGAGTCCCTGTCTGCTGTCTCCATCCCCAGCCCCAGATGCCTACTGACCCTGTACCCTCAGCACACTCCCCCTGGATTTAATGGCCCCCCAAAGTCAACATGACCAAAGCTCAGCCTCTTTTATCACCTCCCACCCAGCAACCCCCTTCTCTGCCTTCACCAGCAGAGGACCCCAACCCCAAATGTCACTTCCCGTGCTTAGGGATCTTGTATTCCTGCTGTCCCCCAAACTGTCCCAAGCCCCAGAAATGCTCTTCTTGGTAGAAAAGAGAAATCAGCAAGGTAAAAGACCGCTTTTTATTATCTCTAGTTTACCCCTGATATAATCAGAAAAGTCATAGAGCATTGAAAAGGGGAGAAATTCAAAAAGAAAGAGGGTAGCTGAGAGATACATTTTTATAAAAAGATATTCCTGCCCTGACCAATTTATAGAAACCTAGAGAACATTTCTGCCAAGAAGGGGAAAAGTGCACCATTTTCAAGAACAAAAGCTAGAGGAACTTGTCCCCCCGGAGCTGCATGTTTGCAGAAAAGAGGTTGGGGCTGTCCCAGATGAGCTGAAGGCTGGAGGCTAAGGAGGAGAGGGACAGTCGGGTGGGCCTCCATGAGTTAAGGGGAAAACACTCCGTGCAGAGGAGCAGCACCAGGTACCATCCCGGGATGGCAAAGCATTTGGTGAGTTCTGGAAACAGGGAGGAAGCCAGAGAGCCTGCAGGTGGGTCAGCCCAGAGGAGAGGGCCCTCAGGAGGCTCAGGAAGGGGTCTGAATTAAACTAGCGCAAGGCAAGCATTGAAACTTTCCCAGCAGTGTGTGCTCTGGTTTATAGAGGAAAATAGTCACTCAATGGGCAGAGAGCAGATTCCATGCGGAAAGGAAAGCAGGCAGATGAATCCAGAGACTCTGCAGTCATCCAGGAGTGTGGTGGGGGCATGAATGGTGGCAGAGACTGGCCAAGATGTGCCTGGGTTTCTCGGAAGTAGAATCACCAGGGTGCCTCAGAGGGTGAGAGGCAGGTCTACTGGCACATCTGTCCTTGGCACTGGCAGACCCTAGGATATCACAGTGGTGTTCACGGCACTTGAAGATCAAGGACAGAGACAGTTACATAAAATTAAAATCATCTGAGTATAGAAAAAATTACAAACAATGAAATTGGAAAAACTAAAACAAAATGCCCTCAACAAGATGGGTATGATAGCGAGCCAGATGGGCAACTTGGTAACTTAGCAAGATCCTTTCCAAAACACAAAAAATTAAAGGAGGGGCCGGAGACATGACTCAGGGTGAAGACCTAGATTCAGTCCTCAGTACAAAAAGAAGACAGTTAAAAACGTAAAGAGCTCACTCAAATCAAAATGAAAACTAGTAAAACCCTGAAAAGAAAACTGGCAAACAGTGAAACCACAATTCTCAAAACAAGACCTTAAAAACAAACAAACAAACAAACAAGACCTACAAAGGGCTGGTACGTGGAAGGAAAAAAGTTTAACCTCACAGATGATCAAACCCTTAGGTGTATCAGCACAACAAAATTATCAGCTTTGCCAAATGAGCTGTGATTTTTTAAGGTAATTCAATACAGGCAGGCTACGTAGGAGTGAGTTTCATGAACTCTAAAAATGTTCTTTCTTTTTGGTTCAATGATTCCGCCTTTACCTAGTCTAAGAAAAAGTGCACACATTACTGGAAAATTTTAACGATCCTAATTATTTAATAATAAGCTATGCAATTTTTATAGTATTGTAGTAGATATGAAGACAGATGAGTGACAAGTGAGAGGGAGAAAGAGAGAAAGAAGTGGGGAGGGAGGGAGAGGAAGGAAGAGAGAGAAAAGGAGAGAGAGCATTTGGCTCTGAGAATGAACAGGCAAATGACTAATTTTCCTACAGATTCTCTTCCTACAGCACAGAATGCAGCCCTGCGCATAGAGCACAATGTGACTACTTCAGATGCTTAGCAATGACAGGGTGCACACTCTGTGGTATATCCAGGTACCAGCATCTGTTCTTCATATTCGGCAATGAAACAGACAGGTCACAGCTGTGACACGCTGAATCTCAAGGACAACGCTGAGAACCAAATCCACATGACAATGCATACAGTAGGATTCCACTATACAAAGTCCCAAGACAGCCCAAACTAAGCTATAATATTCAGGGATGCACATCAAGACAAAGCCCTCCATAAGCGCCTGCCTTGCAAGCAGGCAGTCGTGAGTTCGATCCCTGGTACCGATAAAAAGGAAAAAGACAAAAAAAAAAAAAAAAGACAAAGCCCTCAAACAGTCACAATTAACATATAGGTGGTAAAAATCAAATCAGTGGTTGCCTGGAGAGGGCAATTGTCTACAAAGAAGCAGAAAGACACCTCCTGGGGTAATTAAAAGTATCCTATGTCTTGATGGTGGTATTGTACACACAGGTATGTGTCTTCTTAAAACTCACTGAGTTGTACACGTAAGGTGGGTGCATATTATGTATAGTGAAGAGTACTGTAATAAAATCATGTGTAAGGTTACAGAAATGAATATCACCAATGTTAGAGTAACGGGTATCTCTGGTGGGGTGACAGGGTGTGAACAGGAAGGGGATTTCTGGGATACTAGCAGCATTCTTTATTGTTTTTTAGGCAGTTTCTCACTATGTGATTCAGGTTGACTTTGAACTCACTATGTAGCCCACCGTGGCCTCGAACTCATAGTGATCCTCCTGCCTCAGCCTCCTGATTGCTAGAATTACAGGCCTGCACCTCCACACCCAGCTTATAGCATTCTACTTCCTGACCTTGCTGACTGTTATATAAACATTTGTTTTAAAATTATTCTGTCAACTTTTGTCCAGCTGTATTATAGTCTCCTCTACATATGATTTATCTTGCAAGTAAATGTATATATTGCAATTATGTACATTTATATGACTATAATTTTAAATATTTGTACACATACAAAACCAGTGCTCAAGAAACTCCATCCAAATGAAGACTAGGTTTAGCCGCCCGCCTGAGGTCCCGCTGCAGTCCTCCTGGATGCCAGCTTTCTGCCCCCTGCTTCACGGGCTCTGCCCTTCCCACTTTACCGAAGCCACTGACACAGCTTTCCTGTCTCTGCTTCACATCTCCAGTGTCCAAGTGGCTGGGCCACCTGGTGCAGTCAGCTGGGGCAGAGGGCAGCCCCACGGTGTGCCAGCCCCATGGTGTGAAGGCACCGCAGAGTGTGCCCTGGCCCTCAGGAGCCCCTTACCCACACTTTGCACTGTCCCTCTGCCCCTGGGTGACCCAACGTGGCCGAGTGACTTTCTTGTCACCAGAGGATACCACCTTGGACCTCAAAATGCCTATCTTTCTCCAATTCTCTACAGCCCAGTCATCCCTTGCCCCGCTGGCCAGGCTGCCTCCTCAGACAGCACCAGCCTGTCCACCGACCAGGACTCTAGGCGGGACCGAGCTGAAGCCAGTGCTGTCTTAGCTGTCTCTGCCCACCTGCCAAGACTTGGGCGCTTCTGTCAGCGTGCGGGAATAAACTTTCATTTTCCTTCTGCTCCCTGAACGCTCTCTGTCCCTCCCTTCACTGTTTCCCCGTCACGTCAGCATCGCAGTTCCTCCATCCGAGAAAAAAGAAGTTGGAAGAAAGAAAAACCACTAAATAACAACGGAAACTTTGTGGTTTTGGTTCTCATAGTAAAACTACTAAATAACAACAGAAACTTCGTGGTTTGGGTTCTCATCATAATTGGCCTCAGAGGGCCCCCAGTTTCTTTATTTTCATTTTAAAGAGAAGAAAGCTATTTAAAAAGGTACAGAATTACATAACGATGTAATAGGAAGTTAACAATGGTTAGTATGTTGTATGTTGCTATCTTCTAAGTAGTTGCTCAGATTACAAAATGTAAGAGTGCAAAATTGATCAAAGAGTATAAGCACAAACAGTCCTCTCTGACGAACTAAAAGAAATTAATAGAACACCTATCTTAGCCGTTTTTCACGTGTGTGTATATGTTTTCTTTCCCTCCCATCTTTTCTCCTTTCCCCCACCCCAGTTGTTCTTTCCTGTTGAGCAGTTTCTTTCCCTTTATTGTGGATTTTGAATCTTGTTTACTCGTTTAGTCTCCTACACCGGAGAAGACAATACGATGTTTACATACGTGAGTCTGATTTATTTCGCCTATGAGTGCGGTATCAAGTTGCACCCATTTACCCATGAAGGGCTTCAGTTCACCCTCCTTTCTGGGTGACTAGTACTCTGTTGTATAAAAATACCGCATCTCCTTTATCCAGTCCTTGGTTGATGGTTCTTTAGGTTGTTTCCAAGATTTAGCTATTACAAATTGTGCTGCTATAAGTTGGCTACACAGGTATCACTGTGGAATAATATATTTAATTCTTCTGGAAAAATACCCAGAAGGGGAATTTTTGGGTCAAATGGGACTATTATTAATTCTAGTTTTCTGAGGAATCTCCACGCTGATTACCACAGTGGTTGCACCAGTCTACACCCCCACCAACAGTGGAGAGGGGCCCCTTCCCCCGACCCCGGCCCTGCCTAT